AGAACAGAAACAGAGTCTTGTTACTCAGCAACAATTGTTTCTCCTTCTTCAGCAGACTTGAGTTTCCAAGTCCCATGAAGAGTTTTGGTTGTTTTGGAGGACAAGGATAAGTTGTTGGATGACTAGATAAGAATAAACTTTAATATAAACAAGATCGAATATATAATTTCATGTTAGGGATCAAAATATAATATTTTAGGGGACAAACTTATAATAATTCAGAAGAGATGAAAATAAGTTATTAATAAAAATTATATAAAAATAGATAAAATATATGAAAATTTAAAATTTTCATGAGAGACCGTTCTTATCATTCTTAGCAGGTCAATAATACATTATTTCTCAAAAAATGAGAAAAATATACTCCATTTATAATATAATGATCCAAATATTAAATATTATTTAAATGATCAAATACTTAATTTTAATAATCAATTAATTGTTGATAAAATATTTTACTAATAAATGAATAATAAAATGAATCCTTCAGTCATATTTAGTCTTAAAAAATTTATTGGAACTGGACGAAATGATAATTATTTTATTTTCTTTATTTTTTATTTTTGAAAAAAATTAAAGTTTTTCCCCCTAACTAATCACATTAATTACGCTAATTCATACAACTGCTTCTGTTCTATTAGAGGACAACTTTTTGAATAAATCCAGCTTGGCCCTTTAAAATTTTAATCCTTTATTACATAAGTTTACTCATTCACCTTCCATGGACCAAGAGCAGATAATATATCAGAGAGCTGCATGAAACTACTTAGGCAAATAATGTTAATCATTAATATAATCATGGTCTGGAATGTCATCAAAAGTGTCATCCCTCATAAATTCATAGGTGCTTGCTCAATGAAATAGTTATAGTTTAAAACAAAATTGAATAGGTTATGCAACTCCTATTTGTAGTACTGAATGAATTGTAATCAACTCCTAGTTTCAAGGTCTGTTTATGTCATACTTGTAAACAATAATAAATGAAATAAACGTAAGATCCACAACCTTTATCCAGAAGAAAAAAAAGAAACATAAGATCATCTTAAAACTGAGCTCAAATTCAGAATATGCAAAATAAAGTTCGATTTTAGACAAATAAAATTACGGTATGCTATTTGTTACACATACTTTTCGAGTCTCCTAGACACCTCTATGTACAGATAGCAAGTTAAAAAGTCATAAAACGAAAATGACAGAAGCGTACCGAAAATCGGTTGATGGATTAACACCTTGCCACCCCATCTCTTCCCACTGTTTATAGATCAATCCTGTTAGAACAACATTGGGAAATGCAATATTCCACAATTTCATGAGAGCTTTCTATCACACCAAAGGATCATGAGATCAATAGTCTTCTAATTTATATGGCATTTCAGCTCTGTATAATCATGTTTGCTCATAGTTAGAAAAGATGGAAAACAATATGGATGTTAAAAGAATGAAGAAAGTGTCTGATGGTCGGGATGAATCTCGTCAAAGGGTACGTGTAGTCGTGCTTGAAGCCTTCGAAGTCCTTGTTACTGATCAGAATTAGTAATATATATATATATATTACTAATTTTATTATTACTGGGGCTGAGAATGGAATGAATATGTTTATATGTATATGTAATATATATGTACATACACATGATAGATCAATACAAATCACCCTAACAAATTATCCTGGCACATCACTAGACTGAATACCCAAGAAACGATGGAAAAAACCAGTTCAATTCTTCTCAAGAAAGTCCGATTTTCTATCGTAATTTGTCTTGTAACGGAGTTCCTAAATCTTTATCGGTCCTAACTTCACATTGTCAATTACCTGAATAGGATTCAAATTGTAGCCAAGAAACTTCTCAGTGCGCTTGACGAAGCGATTGAAGAGCTCTCCTATCCATGATCGTGGTCCAACCATAGCATTAGCTACAATCAGTCGAGGCTGATCAGATAGAGATATTAAACAATGAGTTGTAAACTGAATGCTGAAAGCTAAAACCATGCTAATTATGAATGTTGAAAGAATTTATCAAGAAAATCTAGTCACTAAAACATTGAGCTAACTGTGATATGAGGTAAGTGGAATTGTGTGGCCATTCCAACTCTAGACGGTCTTTATTTCGTCTCCAGTGAACTTCATCCTCATCAACCTACATTTCAATTTTAAGCAAACCATTCAATACCAATTAGTTACACATCAGGTTCAAAATTTGGATGCTAAACTTTGTAACTAAGCTCTTAACTATTCATTATATAATGTAAATGCATTCACTCCGAACAAGAGACATAATCATTCAACGCAAAAATGGAAGAGTTTTCCATGATTAAGATTAATGACAAAAACAGATTAAGCTAACATATATGTGTAAGTAATACACTTGTAATTAATCTGTGAAGAGAAGAGCAAGAAGGAAAGCATTGGCGACGCTTCTTTAATCTCATGAGAGAACCATGAACAAAAGGATTAGATTTTTCACATTCCTTTTAATCAAAGGAAAAATGGGCACCAAATGATTGCAGTAAACTCATATGCCTCCATCCAATTCAACCATTGTCATCATTAGAGATAGGCCGAATGAATATAATAATGATAAACACAAAGTTTCCTAGGAAAAAAATGAAAAAGATGAATCATTTTTCATCTCAAGTGCACAATCAAAGGCCACTTTTTGCTGTAAGAAACTTTTTTTGCACTCTAAAATAACAAAGCTTTGCAATTTGTAAAGAAAAAAATCATAAAAGGTAACGCCCTTTTGTCTATGGTTCGACAACTACATGAAATTCAAGACAAAAGGGTAAAAAGTAACCTTTTTTGTTACCTCGAAAGCGATTCTCTACCTGTTATTTCATGTATAGTAGCGAAGTAGATAGGTTTGAGGTCCGGTAATGTGAAACAGCGAAGCAACGAAGCAGATGGGCAAAGCAGCGAAACAACATATTTGGAGAAAGGAATTTGCGAGATCGACGAAGCAACCAAAGAAGAACTAGGATATGTTGAAATTAATTTGTGGGTTTGGGGTAAACGACATAAAGGAAGTAAAGGAAAACCAGAAAGAAAATAAGATGAAAAAGGGCTAGGGTTTTAGGAGATAAAAATACAAACTTTCCGGCGTTTTCAATTTCAAACGCCACTAATATATTGTCAAGTGCGGCGTTTTAACAAAACGACACTAAATGTTAACCCTATTGCGGCGTTTTTAGTTACAAACGCCACTAAAGTACTACTATGTTGCGACGTTTGCTGAAAAATGCCACTATGGATGAACCTATTGCAGCGTTTGTACCGAAACGCCGCTAAAATGCTACTTTATTAAAAACGCCGCTAAAGTACTACTCACATTACAATGTTTGTTGGAAAAACGCCACTATAGATGAACCTATTATGGCGTTTGTATAAAAACACCGCTAAAGTGACACCTTATCGCGGCGTTTTTATAGAAACGCCGCTAAAATTACCATTTTGTGGCGTTTAGTATGTAAACGCCGCTATATGTGTAAAATTAGTGGTGTTTACTCCTAAAACGCCACTAAAAGCGCCGCTGTAGAACAGTTTTGTTGTAGTGAATAGATAATAAAAAAGATGATAAATTACTAATCTATTAATTTTCTAATAAATAATTAAAAATACTAAATTATTAATTGATAATTATTATTTTAATACACCAAAAAATAAAACCTTAATTATTTTTTTAATTTATTTATTGATTGTTATTTTAGTGTTTAGACTTTGAATTTGTTTCATACTCTTTTGAATTTTTTAGTTAAATTTATTAATTTATGTTTATCTTAAGTTTTATATAGTATTAATATATTTTACTTATAGTTAACAAATAATATAAAAATTTTGATGAACTTAACGAGCAAATAGGCGAGAAATAAGCTTAACGTGCAACTAGTCGAACAATAAATTTTCTTAACGAGCATGAGTTGAGCAACAAATTTTCTTAACGGGCACGAGTCGAACCAAATTTTAACGAGCTTAACAAGGAACGAGTCGAGTCGAGCAACAAATTTTTTTAACGAGCATGAGTCGAACACTGCCCAACTCGTAATCAAATCGATCGATAAACAACCCTAGACATGTCAATATGATGAGTTTCGAGAAATATATTAAAATATTAGACCACACGTGGCCCATAAAATTGTGACCATTTAAAATTAACTTCCATGAGAACTCGTTATGTCAAAATGACGAGTTCCATGAACATTATAGAATTTGTCGTATATTCCAAAATAAAGTTGAACTTGACTAAAATCCTTGATAAATAAAACTGTCGATGATTAAATTATATTTACATAATTTTTTTAATTACTAATTTTTTTAAAAAAGTATTATAAAAAAGGGATAAAAATATCCTTAAAAAACATAAAGAGACTACAAAAAAAAAATAGTAAACTGAATGTATAAGTTGAACATTTTCCTTAAAATCATCTAAGTGTACAAACTAGTCGTCTACGTATATAAAAGGATAGAATAAGGAAAGGATTAAAATCCAACAAAATTCAATTAAAAAATTTAACCAAATAACTCAAACAGTTAACAAATACAAACAAACATCAATACTAATATAAATATGATAATTCGTTGGCAAACTAACATTAAATTAATTCAAGCACGACTTATCTTTAATGATTATGAGGGACTATTAATATCTAATTTGAGAATTTAAAACATCGATATTAAATTATAGAGAAGAAAAGGAACTAAAAGAAAAAAAATGTCAAACATATACAACCAGCTTAAGGCTAATGTCTCTTTCGACTGTGAAAAAAATAGGGCAGGAGAAAAAAATAAAGACGAGACCACTAGTTCTTTTCTTATAATACTAGAATAGTTTACTATTTACTATTATTATAAATCAATTGATTTTTCACACCCACACGCAATATATATTAAAATAATAGTAATTGTGTATGGATAATGCATATGCACAGGTAACAGCGTCCACTATACAGTGACAAACGATCCGTTAATACTCCCCCTAACCAGTCCACTAGTCAAACGGGTACTATCTTCCCGTTGCTCTCTTCTGATTTCAGCGGGGGTAAAACTTGTCGACATTTTGGCACTGATCTTCACCGGTTGCTCAAGTGCCGGACATGGGGAGGGCGTCTTGTTGTGAAAAAGTTGGGCTGAAAAGGGGGAGATGGGATGCGGAAGAGGATAACATTTTGACCAAGTATATTCAAGCTCATGGTGAAGGCTCCTGGAGATCATTGCCCAAGAATGCAGGTATATAACCAAAAGTTTCCCTTTTTTTTTTTCTTGGCAATGTTGAACCATGTTTTCAGACTCCTTTGAGCAGCGTATTGATTGTGTGTGGTTCGAGTCTTGAAGGATTACTAAGGTGTGGGAAGAGTTGCAGACTAAGGTGGCTTAATTATTTGCGAGCTGATTTGAAAAGGGGGAACTTTACTGTCGAAGAGGAAGAAACCATCGTCAAATTGCATGAATCGTTGGGAAATAGGTTAGCGGTCGTTTGTTTTCAGTTCAACTTTTATCGTTCAATTATTGCACGTTTCTTTTATCATTGGTGATGCAACAGGTGGTCTTTAATCGCCAGCCACTTGAATGGAAGAACAGACAACGAGATAAAGAACTACTGGAACTCTCATTTAAGTAGAAAAATCTACAGGTTTAGAAGGTTTCTTACTCAAAACTTGCCCCTGATTATGAACGTCAAGCCAAGGGCAATGGGAAAAAACGAAAGCCAAAGTACAAAGACAAACGACGGCAGTTCTTCGAATATACCTATTGATGAAGCCGTGTCATTTTCACCCACGCCACCTTTGGAAAAAGAAACTTTTATCACTGCGTATGGAGAAATGTTGGGATCCATAATTCATCATCCATTTGAAAGCATGGAAAGCTGTGGGTTGCTGCGTTTTGATGATATTAAAGATGATGAATCGCTACAAACCAATGGGGATAACAGGGTCATTGTCGGTGCTGATCAGAGAGATCAGAGTCCAATTGAAATAGCAGGCAATACTGAGGAAGTAGAGAGTGGGGACTATTATGCAGATTTTGGGGACTTGATCGATTCCCGTTTCTCCACAAATTCATGCTTCATCGATGATTATGAGCTTGGTAATCTGGCTGGATTGGGACTGGGAGCGTGTGGTTCAATGGAATGAGTTCTGTGATGAAGGTTCCATGTTTGCTTGGCATTTATTCTCCTAATGCTCTGCTGTTGTTTGTTCACTTAGATGTTAACAGACATCCTAGAAACAAACCTGTGTCCGTGGTTTTTGTTCTTTCTCTGTTTCCAGTCTCTTCTTGTTTTGTTAAAAATAATGGTGGGAAACACTGGTTGGAGTTGAAGGATCATTCTCATGGAATTTCAACAGTTGTGACTAATTTTGAGTAATCCATCAACCTGCTGATATATTTTTTAATAATTTGTAGGGATTATAAAGTAATATATTTTTAAATTTATTTGTTAACCGTTTATAATTGTGATTAAATAATTTGACAAGCCGCTGATACTTTGACGTTGCAATGAATTAAATTTCACCTAATGGCTAATGCAACGTCAGTGAAATCAAATCCTAATGGCTAGTGGCTATAGGCTAATTATTGCATCACATGATTTACTATTTTGTGTTTTTTTAATAATATCCAAGTTCACCAAATTTTTTGTTCCTTTCTACTTTTGAATTATATGATCGGAGTGATGGGGACATATCTTTATGATAATGTTTTAATATCAAAATCCATACAGTAAATACCAATATCTCCAACGATCAAAACGTGGGTGTCTTTATGAGTATTATTTTTAAGCCTCAACCAAATACCACTAAATGTTAATTGGAGCAGAAAAAAAATATGCAAATCTGGTACTTGAAGTAAAGCTTTAGCAAGTGTTGCTCTTCGATGTTCAGTTTTTGGATCAAGGCCCCCTTTTGTTCGTAGGTAACTTCAGGAGAGGCACGTGCCTTAAGTAACAACGCAGTCTGCACCATTCTTGTTCTACATGTAATGAGTGATTCCTTTACTGTTTTCCAGTACAGTTTTGTAAAAGACTACATGTAATAAATGATTCCTTTTACTGTTTTCAAGTACAGTTTTGTAAAAGACAGGGGGAAAGCTGGATTATTGGTGCTGTCCTCTCGAGTCGAATCCCTGGGCATGTAAGACGATAGGAAGCGTACATCCTTTATGGCTTATTACAACAATATTTTAAAAGAAGCTTTTTCCTCAAATCGGTGGTAATATGTTGCATTTGATTACCGACCCTTGTTCACCGACATCATTTCTTATATTTCTATTGATTTTATTCAATGATAAAACTGTTAATCGAACGTTTCTATAATCATTAGTGTTCATATGTCATTATCTATTAATGTGCAACTTAGAAGCATCAATGAAACAATCTTTCCATCAATATATGATGATGTCAAACTAATTGTCAGTTACGATGATGACGACGATCTTATTGAAAATTATCTAATACAAAAAGTTTACGTCTTATTGACGGCAATCACATTAGATAACTTATGAGAATACTCTTAACTGTGTTTTCCAACTATGATTAGATATTTTTTAATTACGTTTCTAGTAAAATTATTTTATATAAGTATTGATGATCGTATGATAATGAAATTATGTAAGGTATACGTACATGTGTGATATATATATATATATATAATAATTAAAAACACAATGACTTTATTATTCCCACTCTATGCATGTAATTAATTTATTGCAGTCTTTATATGTTACATATTATATTATTTTCAAAAAAATTATTTTTGTAAATAATTTATCTTGTTTTTTTAATATTGTTTTGAATAATTTTAATCTAAAATAATTTTTATTTTAAAACAAATAAATTAACTTTAGAGTTTTTTTAAAAATTAATTAGACCCTCCAACTCAACAACAAAAACAATCAAGTCTCTCTATCATGTATGCTAGATGTATAACAACCCGAGACGATACAACGATATAATAGTTAAAACAAAATGAATAAAGCACATTAATTTGTACCATGGTGTCATGCTACCTTCAATGCATGCAATACCAAATAATTAGTATGTAGCGACAAAATCAAATACAACAAAGAAACATATTCGTAAATTCTTTCCATGGTGATTCAACAATTTGCGGTAAAACACGAACAACACCTCGGTAGGATCTCGTCGCAAAATTCGTGTACATGAAACAAAAATAAAACAAAACGATTAATAATACAGTAAAAATTATTCTATTTAATAATTAGAATGAGTATAGAATCAATTATTGCAACCGAGTTGAGGCCTGCAACTATGCAGTTTCCTTAAGATAGATTTTCAACAACTATTCTATTTAAAAATTATCTTTGGTCGTCTGTCTCTCAAGATACAACAACGAGATGATCAGAGCACAGTAGCACAACTGTCGAGATCACGAACTATTCTTTGCATTAGTCTATCATCAAAAAAAATGGAGAGAACTTTTTTGAATAGTTTTTGAGTTGTTTTCAGTTGTGTTTAACCTAGTAGGTTAACATGATATTTATTGGGAGTTCACATTGTGAACAATTTGAAACTTTTGACCTAATGAAGCATTAATGAGAATCAAACAATTAAGAAATTTCCAAAATTATTGTTTTGATTAAAGGAACCTTTTTAATAATTTATCCTTTTAATTACAAAGCAAATTTTGAAAAGATGTTCTTTATTTGAGGAAAATATTTCACATTTGGGTTAAAGTATCCGCAAGCCCACAAAGAACTAGATTGGTCCGGAAATTCACGTTACCCACATCGTGCACTTCTGCACATTTACGAATCAACAATTGATTCCACATTTTCCTCAACAACGTTTGAATCAATTTCTCATCCAAAGCATTAAAATTGTCAATTTTTTTCCAGCAATGTAATAATCAATTGTGCATTATAACATCAATACAATGGATTATTATGTTAACACTATGAACCACCACATCAACATCGTGAATCGTCACATTAGCATCATAGCTAACACTTTGTTTTATTGGTAAAAATATCAAATTATGTTGTTCTCTCAATTTAAGAGTTTATATTGATTGAAAAATTAAAAAACTCATTATTATTATTTTTGAAAAAGTTTAATTACCTCATATATCATTAATACATAAAGAAAATTAAGGCTAGTGATAGAAAATGAAACCCTTAAAATATTTATGACCATATTATAAATTTACAAGATTAATTTACTGAAAATGAAATTTGGTAATAGTTGAGTGATCATGAGTGTAGTTTAACCAAAACCAACACGATTTAGGAGAGTGGTTTTAAACGCAGCCATTCCTATGCTCGTTGGTGAAGAACGCTAGAAGAAAGGTCAGGGGGGGATGCTTAAGTGCAGGTTCCGAGTTTCAGTCTTTCATCTACTCACCGGTAAGTGCTAAAAGAACTGCAGCCTTTTCCCCCTCTTCACTACTTTTAACTCGTCAGAAGCCCAAAACGATGAAACTGAAACACTGAATAATTTCCCCCCAGGTTATAGTGCACTTGTTTCACCGAGGAAAATAGCGCTTCCTATTGCTTGGCAAGTTTCTCTGCTTATTTTGTTACGATTTAGTTTGTTGTTTAATGCATTTTTAGGGTTCGTTAACAATTTAGCCATCTCAATGCTAATCATTCTTTGTGTTACGGTATAAATTGATCGAACTATGTGAAACGGAGTTTCAACATTTCCCACTTAAGTTTCAAGTTTGTTTGTTTCCGAGGGGACTCTGTAAACCTGATTATTGACAATTTATTTGTGGTTTGTTTCTTATGTATAATACCATGATGGGCATTGATCCAGTGGGGATGAAGTTTAACAAAAAAAAACAGTTCTGGGTAATTCTGTTAAGGGTTTATCTTTTAGTAGTATTAAGTCATTTTTATTTTGCTAGGCATTTGAAAGCTATAAATTTGGATAAAGATTGGGTGTCACATAATTGCAGAAGGGAATTATGTAATGAAGCTTGTTTTCTATACGTTACTAGACTACTATCTTACAATTAGCGGATTATGTACCCAACATTGGGATTTGTATATTCTATTGGTACTTCTTCAGAAAAAAAGTATATTGGTACATATTATATATGAGGTTATCTTATGTAAGAGTGGTTGCAACATCCAAACAAAAGGGTTTGGGAGCTTAGAGCGGTCATTGCATACTTCAACGGATGATGATGATTTTGTAGAACTAGGCTTACAGGTGGAAAGGGTTGGAGGTGTTATTCAGAAACTGAAGACAGGAAAGCCTGAATATTTTCCGGTAAGCATTCTTGGCATTTCTTTTCCTCTCTCTATTGCCAAGCGTGTCAGAGCTGGGCTGCATATGTGTGATCATTCCGGCTTGTTTTTTGTGTATTTTCCTTTTGTGACATATTGCTGCTAGAGTATGTTTAATGAATAAAATTTCACTGCTATTACCACTTTCCATGTTGTCAATTATGCTCTGACTTGATCACCATCTAAATTCTCCATTTCATGTAGAATATCAATGATGCCAAAAAGAAGTTAAATGGGTCACCTTTTAAGACAGACAATCGCAAAAGAAGTTAAATGGGTCACCTTTTAAGACAGACAATCGCCTTAATGTCAAGGATGTATCATGTAAAGTTGGGAAGTCTTCTGTTTCTTCTCTAGACGTTCAGAACGATAATGACGAAGGGTGTAATTGTAGAACTTCACATTCTGTTACAATTAAGAATGTGCCTTCTATAATCAACTGTCTTGAGTTGAAGGAGGCAATTTCTGTTTTTGGTAAAGTCTCAAAGGCTTCCAAGAGATCAGTTCCAAATAGATTTGATTGTTGTGACATTGAATTGAAGGTATTTTTCTTTCTTGATAATAGGACTTCCTCCTTTTCCATCTGCCCCCTCCCCCCAACCCACACAATACGGTCACCTATTCTTTTGGGTTGAACATAATTAAGTGTTGATATATGCTATGCTTTTCCAGAAAGCGAAGGCAAGGGAGAAAGCATTATCAATGGGCTATATAACAGTAAAGGAAGTCTCTCTCCATATTTGGCCACTGCAGTCTTCAGAAACTGTTATAATTAGAATTACCAACATCAGCTTAGATACTACAGAATCAGCAATACACTTTACATGCAAATCATGTGGTCTTTTGGAGGGTCTTGTGAGGATGAAAGAGAATGTTGTGGATGCCTCATTTAGTGTGAACTGCAAGACAGACACAAAGACCATACTAAAAAAGTAAGAAATGTTCACCATTCTGTTAAGGCTTAATACAAAAATAAGTGCAATGCTTCGAAAAACGTTTTAGTGCCTAAAGAATTTTTGGCTAAAAATTATTTATTTTATTTTAAAAAAAGTTGGACGTAACACGTGTCACTTAACGATTTTTTTAATAGTAGACACCTAAAATTGTAACGAAGAAAACTTTAGACACCTATTTTTAACGAAAAATTCTTTAGGCACCAAAAGTTAATTTTGAGTATAGTTTAGGCACTTATTTTTATATTAAGCCTTCTATTAATGTTGGATATAATCGTGGTCGTGCATGTTTTTGTTAGGGCCCTTGTGGTAATATGGAAGCTGAACATGTATGAAGACTAGAAGCAGTTATCTGAGTGAAACTGAACTTTTAATAAGCTTATTAGCACTTTTCTTGTTTGCAATGCTAGACACTTATTGAGCTTTGTTCTAGTTGCTTTTAGATTTTCTCGATAGTAATAGGTAATTAAGTGCCATATTAGAAACGTGATATTAAAAATGAAACATTTTGCTCTTGAAACCATGAGGATATTCCTCTTCTTCTTTTGAAAGGAATTTCTCTCTAGTGTGGGAGGGTTAGGGTGCTTTCAGGTCTGAATCAGAAATAATAGGAGGTTCATTCATGTTGAAGTCGCTGATTAGCTAATAGAGCTTCCTCTCTTGGCTTAGTTTGTTTCGTGGTAACAAGTCGAGTGCATAAGCTCCTCTAGAAAGAGGGGTGAGCAGCAAGCAGGCTGAGGTTAGTCAAATATAAATGGAAATTCTCTATGCAGATATGAATCTCACATTTGAAAGCCAACTTTTAAGCTAGTTAAAATGATAAAAGAGGACCCCTTCTGTTTACCGTAACTGATGTGTGTTTGACTTGCACACAATTATTGATATTTTTCTCAATGAATATATAATTCTTCTGATTTCAACTCATTCAATGCTATCAAGAAATGTTTTGCTTTTGGTAGCTCTTGCCAATATTAGGGTTTTGAGTAATAATAGTTACTATTTATAGATAGTTTCTTGTAGAACCTTTTTTCCTATGTAATCATTATGTTGGATAAAATATTAAATAGCAGGATGGATATTTGCTTTATTATTATTATTATTATTATTATTATTCTAAGCAGCAAGATAAGTAGTATTTAGGCTATTTGCTATAGAAACATTGATACCGGCATGTTGTAAATCGGTTCATACTAACATTGTAGACTTTGTTATTGTTAGATTGAACTCTATAGTGAAGGATGATTCCAAATGGTCAGCTCACTTACAACATAGCGAGTCTCCCTCAACGCCAGTGACCGAAAATGGCAATGCTCAAGACGACTAGGCGCTTAAAATTGAACATTTAGCTGACCTGGAAAGGGAAATACGTATGAAGAAGATCTATTTCCGAGACCTACGGCTTCTGTATGGTTGTGTGTTTCACCTTGAAAACCACCCTTTGAAGGCAGATGACAGCTTTCCGCCATCAAAAGAATCCGAGTTGTAATTTTCTCAGCAGCAATTACTAGAACGAGTTCATTAGAATTTGAATATCAAATATACGGCTTTTACCTCAGTCGGGGCTTAACCCATATAAACTTGAAGGAACAAAACTTTCCCATTTTGTTTTATCATCTTCATCGTCTTGCTCAGTGTCTTCCTCAGTGTTTTCTTAAACCCAAACCCGTATATAAACAGTTAGATGATGTGGCAGTTTGGCTTGATGTGAAAGCTATTTTTTGTTTATTCCACCTTGCTCTCTTCATTAGAATTCGAGTTCATTTTACCCATTTTTAGTTGTTTTTTTTTAAATTGATATTCTTTTGACGTCTTTGATGATCACCTTAGACATTGATGAATTCGTTTCATCATTTTCTATCATTTCATCAATTTTTATTTTTTTTAAAACCTCTTAAAAGTTTTAAGAAATTAAATACAAAGTCTATAATTTTGGGGTTAGAAAGTTTTTTCAAATTCAAGGGGTTTGATTTGTTGGTTCAAAAAATTGAATGGTGAGAAGTATCTTTTTAAGAAGACAAATAACATATTTTAAAACTGAAGTGATATATGTGTTAAAATTGAATTTAAAACTAAAATTCAGTCCTAAATTGAAATAATTTAAAACTCAATAGTTAAAATTTTGCATAATTTAAAGTTCAATTATATTTGACGTAGATTACCAAAAAATACAAGGCAAATTAAACGATGTACACAAACTCTCAACATCGCAATGGAAAGAAAATAATACTAGTAATGAATGATGTGACAGAAGAAGAGCTCTCCCTGGGCATCAAGTGCTACCACATTCGTCTTCATTTACTTGCAGAATCCACAAAAGTTTTACCATAAAAATTCATTTTTCTTGATGTATTTGGAGAACACTTAACCTAACGTTGTGGTATCGATGAAACCGAAAGAAAATTAAGAGGCCTTAATGCGGACTCTAAACCAGGGGGTAGTCGGCCAATCTATCTATATTAGTGGCTTAAAATTAACTAACGTAACCGTAGTATGTCCGGTTGATCAAAACGGCATACAAATTAGCAAATGAATACAAGTATATCCGATACTAATAAGGACACAGGGAATATAAGAAAAAGAAAAACCAAAGCTCGATATTCGGATGCGTTGCGCGGTAGGAATATGTGGTTGCGTGGGTCCACAGTAGGCGCATTGGCGAAAAATATCTGACGCAAAACTGCACTCCCATGGGGCCACGCAATAACATTAACCAAACTCCTCAAACTTGCTCACCTAAGTCCTTTGTTTATTGACATATTATTTGAGATGCTATTAAGATTCCTTACATTATCATATGTTTTCCATGTTAATAAGATTAATCGTTTTTTCACCACGGCTTAGACTGGTGCATGAGGAGCATTTCCAATGCATTAATCAATGTTCCCCATAAATTGAAAAGAAGAAGAAGAAAGAACCATATCTTTGATCTTAGTGCCCATGTGCACTTTCAATGTATACCTAAGATGGAAAAAAACGTGGTGCCAATTAAATATGGATTAATGCATAACAACTCCCATCAATCACAGATGAGTCATATCGTTAGTACACAACACAAAGGTCTTCCCCATGTGGGTCCAATGAAAGTTCATTCCGAAGAAAATAACAAATGCTTACAGCTCAACCAACATAAACAACAAAATCCATGTGGGTCTGATCTAATTTTTTTACACTGTTTTTGGGTGCCACCGTCCCACATGATCCCTTACCTATAACGTAAGCCCAACCACTACCCTACGAAAACAGTGTCCCATGCTCTAGTCTGAAAACAACCCAGATAAGTCTAAACAGCGAAATAAACTATTGTACCACTGACCAACCTTAAAAATTCCGTAATCGCAACAAAAAGAAGCTTTAACAGTGTTGATTAAAAACATAACATAGCTTCTTTGTACAGTAAGCTACCTTAAGATTAAATTAATACGTACGACAGTATGATATAGTTCAAAGAAACTATATACAAAACGGACCCTGTTTTTTTTTTTTTTGAATCGGTTCCTGCCACCGTTAATTACCTAGACGAGACTGGATTCAAGCTTCTGGCGAGACCGTTAAGTGCACCGTAACTTTTCGAACTGAAGCTTAAGCAACCAAATAATCCTTGTCTGTAAGGCAAGTAAGTCCTCTTCTTCATTTCCTCGGCTTGAGCTCTGTTGGTGGTGTAGTGCAACTCGTGTGGTGATGGAGGGACTCGTCGTTTTGCTACCCCATTTGAGGGTTTCCCGGAACTCACTTTCTTGCCCGCGCCTTGTTTGTTTTCCTTTTGCTTACGTTTCAAAGGTGGAGGCTTTTCCTGTTCCATTTGAATCTTTTTCTCTCTTGACGATGAAAATGAGATGGAAGTCCAAAACTTTTCCTTCCCATTCGCTCTCCCTTCGCTTTTGCTTCTGTACAAAAGATCTTTCAGGAATATCCACTTTTTGGAGTTTCTGCCTGAAGATGAAGATCTTGATGAAGATGCAGAGGAAGACGGTGTCGTTTCCTTTGAAACGTCGGTTTCTTTCAAGCCTTCCAAAATGAGCTTACTGACGTCTTTCCTATCTTTTCTGCTACACTCTTCTTCTTCTTCTTCCCATTGGAACTCTGGGTTTCGAAGCGGTGATAAAGATCTCGCCTTTCTATGGATCGATCTGCTTCTAAGCTTCAGATCCCTTCCCCGTGAAGCTTCCTGCTTGTTTGAGCCGTCGTCGTCTTCCTCGACGTCAAGATCAAATAAAGGAGCTAGATTCTGAGGTCTTTGCAAGTGAGAAGAGAGCTTCATGGACCTGATCTGGCCGTTCAAGAACAACTCGTCAGCCGAACTCATGGATCCGACAGTCACGGAGCCATTACTGGAAAAGCGAGACGAAAACTCGAACTCAAAAGACGAAGCATCTGATTGCACCGGTATTAATGAGGACTCCGACGAAAGATGAGACTTTGAGGAAGGAGCAGAAGACAAAATGAAATGCATGGGACTAGCCGGCGCACTGAAAAAGTATCCCGGCGTGGGGCCACGGCCGGGGCTCGACGGTGCACTAACGTAGGGGGTGGAGCAGGTTGAATCAAAGTCTTCACTGAAACGCGGCGTTTCGGTATGGTCGCCATCATTGTAAGAAGAAGAAGAGAGGTGAGTTAGAGCAGTAGGATTATTGTGGAGGTTTTCAGTTAAATCCATATTGAGAGAGTAAAAAATGGTTTGGATAATATTTAGAAGTGAGGGAGTAGCTTGCGGGGCACGTAATAATGGAGGAGAAATGCATAGGGGAGGGGGAGGAAGGCGCGGGTTGCTCTTTAAGGCTTACGACAATAATAGAAGTTGGAGGGTGGAGTCTTTTGTTTTTATATACTCTCGGTACGTTTGTCTTCTTTTTCAGGTATTTGATGCTTGGAATTACCGGCTTATCCCCATATTACTCAATCTAAATTTGTAAATCTGTTTTAGAATTATACTCCATTAAATACATAAAACCGATTTAATTGAATTAACATAAAATTCGATTGGTTTAATTAGTTAATAAAACTAATACAAATGTCAATTTTAATAATGAATTACTCCATATAAAATGAATATACATTTAAAAGTAAAATATAGAAGGGAAGGGGAAAGGAGTAGTTGTCAGGGTGATAACATGCGATGTCAAGAGAGAGAGAGACTCTTACCATACCAAACGTGGCGTCACGTTGCTTTCCTTAGAGCCTTAGATTATGGCGTTTTTACTTAAAAATTACCTAAACAATCAATAATTACTTGTTAGATATTTTTTTTAAATATTATCGATCTAACACTATTTTCGACATAGTGATAATAAAACACGTTTCAAGATATGTGCATTACAGATGTGAACGAAAGACGCAGATCATGAAACGCTTCGTCTTGAGTTCTATTCGAGATAACATCAAGGTGGAAAAACACAAATTACTTAAAGGAAAATTTGACACGTGACGGATTATTCTTATTTATTGGATTGTGTAATATTTTTTTAAGATTCCAATTATTGTAAAAAAAGAGAAACAATAGTTAGAAGATTTTATCCACTAAATTCCAGGAATGGTATAATGATAAAGAGTGATGTATATATATTGAATAATTTAATCCGTAAATATATATTAATTTAGTTAAATTTAAAATTTAATATATATATTGACTTCTAATTGTATTAGAATATTAAAAAAATTAGGATAAATTATACGAATAATTTTCTTTGTTTTCGGTCTGATCGAATTTAGTCATTGATTTGAAAATTAAGTGCGTTTAATCCCTTACATTATTGATCGGATCAATTTTTGTTCCTCAACCGCTAACTCGTGTTAACCTTTTAATTTAATGAAAGTATTATACGACAATTAAAAAAATCATGTTAAACTTTTAACCGCAATTAAAAATTTTGAACCATGTAAAACCACGGGGCTAATTATATGGTAACTGTAGGTGGCAATTTTGTTTTCGGCTTCAACAATCAGCCCATGTCAGGCTCCACAAATCCAAAACCGTGGGGTTTCAACAGAGAGTGGTCTCTCTCATGATGCTGCAATTCCACTTGACCGGCGTAGCTTAGCACACCCTTCACGTCCATACTGTTATGGAATATTGTAGTTACCAAATGCAGTCAGGTTGTTGTGCTGCACTGATATAGGATCTAAGGAATTGGTGGTCTGTTGAGATGGATAGGGTTTGTTAGAAACCTCATTGGCACTCCATCTCTTCCCTCTCTCTTGTATAAGTACCCGATCCTCTCTTGAGAATATTACAGGTTTATCAAAGAAATAGCAGAGAGTGTTGCCTCTTTTCCACCCCTATTTCATCACATACTAACGTTGACATCCCCATTGCCACCGCTACCATGATGGTGATGGTCTCCGCTCAAACCTAAAAAAAATTCCTAGTGAATTGGTCGCTACACTTCTGCCACATGTCCAGATTCCCACTCGTCAGTTGCTGGTTAGATTCATTTGGTCATTATCGGATACAAAATCATTTACTGTTTTGGCAGTCCTGATGTTTAATGCCGTTCAAAAGAGAGTGAACAAGTATTTATCAAGCTTAGGAACACATAAAATATAACAAAAGAACCATAAATCAGAAAACCCATTTCAATTTTCAACTAAAACAGTTCAGTGAAAGGAATGATTCAAAACAAACAAACAAAAAAGAGTTGTGCAAGTGGGATAGTTGGATAATGGGAGGAAGCATCTTTAGTGTGAAGTTTTTTCCGGCCATCTTGAATTCAACATAAAAAAGTACTACTCGTATAGTTTACCCAAAACATTTGTAGTGTTGAATTACTGTTTCTTGCCCCTACACCATTTTCGCTTGTCTTCTACCTTTCGCCATGATCAAGACTGTGGCAGCTGCAAACGCTGAACTATCTCGCTGCGTAGCGGCCTCTTCCACAGCCATTTTCGATAAGCCCACCATTGCTGCTCAACCTCGTTTTGCATTTCATCCAACCGCTGGCAAAGGTTTCCGCTTCTTTCTTTATCACTGCTAGAAAGAAATAGCAGCCGCTTGCGGTCCATATCCAAGTACTCTGACGGGTCGGGTGGGCTAACTTATAGGGATGCCTGTGTTGACATTAATGCTGGAACTGAGCTGGTTAGAAGAATCGCTAAGACGGATCCAGGAATCAGTGGTTTTGGCGGCCTTTACCCACTAGGTCACATTTCTAAAACTTTTGCTATTGTAATCTCGTTCTGTTTTCCATTTGCTCTCTCCATATACATGATTATGAATTTTCCATGTGTTTACACTAATTTTTGTCCGCGTATTTTATTATTATTGTTATTATTATCTAATATTATTATTATTAGTATTATTTTTCTTTATTTTGCAGTTTACAAACCCAATCAACCAGGTCCAGTTTCAAACGACCCAAATGAAATTACAAGGACCCAACATCAGCCCAGTGATTGAGGCCCAATGTTACAACTCAACATGTCAACAAGGGTCAAACACAAGTTGCTAGGGTTTTCACTCTAGCTAGTAGCCGCTCAGTAACAGCCGTTCGATCTGAACCAATCCAATGGTCTAGATCAAAGGTAGAATTTAGGGTTTTGACCAATCCAAAAAGACATTACCCGGTCCATTCTCGGGCACTTGGCCGTCACGGCTCTCTCTCTTATGCTTCAAAACTTCAAGCAACCTCCTGAGCTCCGCTTTTTTTTTTGTTGATATGCTCTCCGGATCCTCCACAAAACAGTTGCTCCTCTCCTTTTTCTTTTGCTTATGACCCCCTCCCCCCCCCCCCTTCACGCTTATTAACCCCCCATAAATGAAAATGGCCTCATCTCTCCCATAACTGCCTCTTTACGTGGCTGAAAAAAAGAATTTGACTTTGTTATTTTCTGTCATAGGCACCTTCGTAACAACTGAGCAGGTGAGACAGATGGCAATCATAGTCTCCTGCGGTTGTTTGATGCACGCGCGAATCTAAGCGGTTCGGGCTTGCTTTAATTGGGCATGGGTTCGGGTAATTTGTAAATGATGCGGGCCTGTAAAAATAAAATATTTAATTAGTATTTCGTTAAAACCCAATCAATATAGGTATATATTCAATATTAATTTGCCAATCTTTTTTATGTCTATGTCTCGAATATTTTCAAGAAAAATGATCGTGGAATGGGTGTGAAAAACACCACTTGATAGAAATAGTACGATTAGACGACATTTGAACAAAAAATAAACTTGAAATAAATCGAATATATTTTTGTGCAATTTTGTGATTCGAAATAATTAATTAATGTTCAGTACAAGGGATCATAATTTAATTTTAGACTCGAATTTGCAAATTTCACTACGACAACGTATAAGCGATTAGATATCAATTTTTAGGCGTGGTGAAGTGCTTATTTTTTTCCACACGTAATTGACTCTCGAGCTCTTTGAAATGAATTTTTTGTGACGTTTTTAAAAAATAATTTTTCTTAAAATTGTTTTAAAAGACATTTTTAGATACCTAACCTAACAAACAAGTTGACGGCGACTCTCAATTCAAATTTCATCAAAAATACCAATTTTTCCAAAATAAAGTTATAATTATTTTTAAATTCAATTTTTCGTTAAAAAATTGTTATGACACCATGTTCTATTGTTGGGAAATCATCAGGCACCATAGTTTTATTGAGGTTCTCTTTACTGTAATTCACTCTTGTCATTATTTAGAAAATTCTGGTCTTGGTTTGTTGACGCTATCGACTTTCGGTCGGAGGAACAGGTGATTCTTTCCTTGTTGCTGGTACCAATGGTGTGGGAACCAAGCTCAATCTAGCATTTGAGACTGGAATCTATGAAACTATTGGAATTGATCTTGTAAGCTTGAAACACACCTTGATATATGCATTTTTGCTATAAATCAATATATTCATCATAATATACTTATAATGCAGGTTGCAATGAGTGTCAATGACATTGTTACTTCTGGAGCAAAACCATTGTTCTTCCTTGATTATTTTGCAACAAGTCACCTTGATGTTGACCTTGCTGAAAAGGTTCAAGCTTTTTTTTTGTTTACTTCTGTTATTCTGAGTGTGGATAATTCTCATTGGTTAACTATTATTGATAATCATCGGTTCCTGTTTTGTTGTTTTTCAGGTTATAAAAGGAATTGTATATGGTTGCCGACAATCTGATTGCGCTCTGTTGGGCGGAGAGGTACATGATTTAATTTTTAGTTCATATGTAGTACCTAATGAGTAGGATGGGATTGATTTCCTGTTGAAATTTGAAACTTTACAGGTTTAAATGAATGAAATAGTGAGGGAATTTTGGTATGAATTGTTACCTGCTGTACAATCACAAGGGCTGGTCGCTGTTAACAAAACTTTTGTCCTCTCGGATAATTCAATTATTGCATATGAAGTTAATAATTATGTGAACAGTGTCAATGGTAATAATTTGCACCACAAATGGTTGATTTTTTTAACCAGCAACTTGCTTTGAGTTGAGGGTCATATATGCAAAATACACTTTGCCTATGCACTGTTAAGCCCTTTCAAGTCTTATATATGTTTAGAAATTGCTATAAACATTTTTAACTGCCTAGATCAACCTATGTGTTTTGCATGTCTTTCAGACTGCGGAGATGCCGGACTTCTATGCAAAGGGCGAGTACGATCTTAGTGGCTTTGCAGTAGGCATTGTCAAAAAGGATTCTGTTATAGATGGGAAAAGCATTGTAGCTGGAGATGTACTAATTGGCCTTCCTTCTAGTGGAGTCCATTCAAATGGTTTCTCTCTCGTTAGAAGGTTAGCAACCTTTATAAAGAAATGTACTATTTGTAATTTATCTTCAGTAGTATTGTGATAGACCCGGTCCAATGTGTATGATTCTTTGATATAGTTGTTTTCCTTATTCTTCTTCTTTTTTTAAAGAAAATCTTATTTCAAGTGCATGAAATCCTTTTGATGTACTTGAGATTTTCTGTAGGGTTTTAGCTCGTACCGGACTTTCTTCAATGGATCAACTTCCTGGTGCAGCAGTCACATTTGGAGAAGCATTAATGGCACCGACTGTTATATATGTTAAGCAGGTTATAGTCAACATTTGTTTGACAGTATTAGTTTGGTCTCATGTTCCCTGTCACAATTTGCAAGCTAAAAACCTTTTCATTGTCCAGGTGTTGGATCTGATCGGAAAGGGCGGGGTAAAGGGGGTGGCACACATCATAGGCGGTGGTTTTACTGACAATATACCCCGAGTGTTTCCAAAAGGCCTCGGTGCTGTCATATATAACGGTTCTTGGAATGTGCCGGCTGTGTTCAAATGGATACAACAGGTACAAAGTTTTTTCATACATAAATACTGAAGTGCTTCCCTTGCTTTATATTTCTAGTAGGAAACAGAGATTACAGGTCATCTCTTTGGTTTTTTCTGATTACCTGAACCTTGTTAAACGGTATTTGTTAAAATTTTTATTTGATACGTATTTAGGCTGGAAATATTGAGGATGCTGAGATGAGGCGGACGTATAACATGGGCATGGGCATGGTTCTAGTTGCGAGTCAGGAAGCATCTCGAAGAATACTTGAAGATGCAAATGGTGCTTACACAGCTTACCATATCGGTGAAGTTGTGAATGGAGATGGTGTGACCTACCGCTAGAAACCGTAGGTTATGCGACATTTATTTCTCTCGTAATCGAGACTAGATCTGCATGTACAGCTCTTTCATTCCCATCCAACAACATTGGCAGTTGAAATTCCTGTATGACACACTTATTCATTTGTGATGTGGGAGTTTGGATAGACAAGTCATAGTGAGTTTTTTTTTAACTCCTAATAAGACCCATAACATAAGATACACATTTATATCTCTACATGACTCCAATGACCACTAATAACCAATGGTTCAAGACAATAACAATAAAACCAACCTAAGTCACTAACACTAGACTATAACAGATATACTTTTAAGCCACGTACCTTGATTCTTATGCTTCAACATGCCCCATGTAATCTTGTCTCACTTAACATTCTTAATGTTTGCTAACTAAATAAAAAAATTCCGTAATTTATTATTAATCCCTATTTGTTTTAATTTCGCAGGTTCAACTTCAAAGCATCCGTGGCATAACAAGGCTTGAACACTAGGATTGCCCGGAAGATCCAACTCTTAAACACATTCAAAGATGTTTCAATGAAAGATTACACGTTCCATGCCAAATTTAACCGAAGAGAGGAAAATACAAAAGCATAAATTAAGCTCCATGGTATACTATAGTATAGCAAGACACTAGATGATATCCAACTACCTGAAGGAGAAAGTTTAAGATGAAGATCGAGGCCTATGTCCTCCTCCGGCAGTTTATCAGAAAATCTTGTAAACGCCGTGACTGCTGTGCCAAAACGCAGTGGTTGAGCTACGTAAATTCAAGGAGCCGAGGGAAGCAACGGTGGCCGTGAAGGAAAATAACATGGACATGGTTGCGGCACAAATTTTGCAGTACCGTTGCTAGTGAGCCCTTTGGTAAACGCGGGCGGCATTGACCTTGAGAAATGGGAGCTTAAAACAGGCGCAGATGCGCCTATGACCCGTTGCTGGCTATGAAACTGGGCACGCCTAGCTCTCTGACGCTCTCTCTTATGTGCATTTTGAGAGTTGGCAAACACTCGTTGGCAAAACGGACACTCGAATTTACTGCTTTCTCCAAAATCATCAGCTCTCTCTGGAACGTCATCTTTCTGATCTGTTAGTGAGAAATCAAATAACTTCAATGACGAAGGGGGTTTGGGGTCTGATTGTTTGTCCGGTGCCGTGTCGTCTGAAGATGACTTGGTCAATGTTGAGATTGAGATCCCCTCCATTGTAACCAAGAAGAATAGGCTATGATTATGTATGATATGTTCAAACTGATGCTGCCCTGTATTTATAGGTTATACTTGTTTGTTTTTCGTTCATTTCCCGAAAGATATTACGCCAGTTGAGTTGTGAGTTAAGAGTATGGCTGTTGTGCTGAATTTTAGGGCTATGGTAACAATTTCTTACTCAAAGATCCACGAAAATTATGCCAGTAAAAAAATTGGATAAACTACGCGTTTAGTACTTAAATTATCAGTTTTGGTCCAGTACTTACAATATATTAAAACCATACATAACGTTTAGTTTATGTTTCCGTTAAAAACTTAACGCGTTTAGTACCTAAACTACTAGTTTTAGTCCGTTTTAGTACTTAAACTTTCATTTTTTTTAAAATTTAAAGGTAAGTTTTTAACGGATATTAAAATGAAACAAAAACTAAACATGATTTTAAAAAAATAGAAAGTTTAAATACTAAAATTGATAATTTAAGTACTAAACGTATAATTTAACTAAAAAAATTGCTTTGGTAGTACAGTTCTTTTCGAGGGTAATAACTATTCATGTAGAGTGGTAGAAAGAAAAGGCCGGAACTTGTGAAAACTCTCGTCAGGCGCAGTTTTCACAAGAGCAGATCCATGCGACGATGAAACATTAGAAAAAAAGGTTCCCGAGAAAGACGGGGGATTAGGGTCATTGTCTCAACTGTAGCCAAAGATGATGTATTAAGATTGTCCCTCTAGCCTGCCTCCTTTTATATTCCAAATTCCCCACACGCACGCCTTCTTTGCCTGCATAATCATTCAACCAAACACGTTGGTCCAAAACTAGTAGAAATCATGCACTAAAGAACTTTAAATGTGCATATAACCTTCTAGCACCAGCATGCACATGAAATATTTGAGTGAATCAGGACTTATATCAGGTTTATTCAGCAAGTTACACTTCCGTTCATCCTTTTGTCTATCAAATTTCGAAGTCTCCGAAGTTACACATTCTACGTATTGCGGAAGACGGTTATCGAATAGAGCAAAATCACAACTGATAATTTGAGAAAATAAAAATGAAAATAAAAGAGACAAAATAATTTACGTGGAAAATCCCTAAATAATATAGGGTAAAAACCGCGGGCAATGGTAGAAGAATTTCACTATAAGAAAATAGGAATTAACACTTCTCTCGATCTACCAAGGAGAAAACAATAATAATTATCTCTTGATAAAAAAAAGAGAAAACAACTCTCAAGAAACTCTCTAAATTCTCTAGTATTGGAAGAAAGTTAGAATGCTTTGGGATGGTTTTGAAGCTAAATGAACTAGGGTATTTATAGTTGAAGCTTAAGGACTAATTTGTAAACACCTAAACTTTAGTTACTAAAATTTGTAATTTGCCCTTTCTAAATGTCAACAAAGAACCAATAAATTTTCGGTGCATTAAATTTGTGCACTTTCGGTGCATTTATGCACTACCCATATTTGACTTTTCAACACTACAGCCAACTACTGACCCTTAATATGATCATCGACAAACTCACGTGATCATTCAATAAAATTTACATATAGTTAGATCTATTTATCCTGTTAGTCTTATGCTCGTTGCGTGTAACCGAGTATACGTTAGGCCCTGTACCATCGATGCTCGAATCTTCTACTTAGTTACTCCTTTCTTGGTATTAATCATCCTCTATAACCCAGGTTCAAAGAACCCAGATATAACGAGTCACCAGCTAGGATAAAGCAACCAAAAACAGAAAAGATGATGCCATAATACTTTTGAATCCCAACTTCATTCTTTTTATGTAACATATAGGCAAAGGACAGGCATAAAAGTCCATAAATTACGAATTCCATAGGGTACATATTTCTCCGCGTTTTGGCATCCTGACCCTGTTTGTTGACCAATACTCAGAAAAGATGATTAGTGATAAAATCATGTTACATAATAACAGTGAAAAATTGACATTGATGTAAACTTAATTCATATCCCCTCGTTGCCTTTTCTAGGGTCAATTGTGGTGTCATTTGCACAGGTTTCCGTATAAGAAAAAAAATCCTATTTGAGCAGTCCAATCCATAGGAGATTAAACAAGGATTTTATCTTCTTTTTCTTTTGGGTTAACTACACAGATGATCATTTATATTTGTATTTTGTCCACTTTTAGTCAATGATTTCAAAAAACATAAGATATGACCACTTTCGTTTTTATTGAAGTAAGATGTGGATCACCCCGAGTTAACTGCCGTTAACAACAGTTAAATATTTTAATGTAATCATACATTTTGTCCCTGTTATTACGTATTCTCTCAATTTAGTCCTAATTTAATATAAATCTTAAAGGTCGAATTCTCATTTTTGTCCTTTTATTATGCTTAATTTTGTGATTGTTGTTTTTTAAAGGGTAAAATGCATTCTTAAATATTAAACTTTGACCATATTTTTGTTTTGACTATTGAGGTATAAAATGTTAAAATTATAATACTAAAGTTTTCTAATTCATTTTTTAGTCATCAAACTATTAATATTTTAACGCATTTATGATGTGATTTTTTTCTTTTGTAAAAGGATCTTAAATCCTTTCAATTATCATCTACTAACGTACGCAACATAGATGGTACAACAATGTTTACCTTTTATCCCCCATTTTATTCTCAATAATTTTGTTTTTCCCAAAATTCATTCAAAATCAATGAAAATCAAGTCAGAATTTTAATCTTCTTATGCTCAAATCTCTGTCGATAATGGTCTGATGAAGTTAGTTTCATAATATATTATTTTTCTTATTGAAAACATGTTTCTTACTATTTAAATTTTTGGTTCACCATATAAAGTCTAGAGTGAAAGAGATAAAAACAAATTTATAAGTGTCTAGAGTGACCAAAGATATAAGAAAATGTGATATAGACTTACTTTATCATATACATCAGTCGAATAAATCTTATAGTTAAAAACTAACGTAATAGATTTAAAAGTATGACTAAATTGAGAGAATATGTAAATAATAGAGACTAAATGCATGATTATATCAAAATATTTAATTGTTGTTAACAACAGTTAACTCGAGGTGACAATATCTTAATTAAATAAAAACGAAAGTAATCATATCTTAATTAAATAAAAATGAAAGTGATCATATCTTATGTTTTTTGAAATCAGTGACCAAAAGTAGACAAAACACAAACATAAGTGATCATCCGTGTAGTTAACCCTTTTCTTTTTCTTAATAATTTGGTCTTATGGGATTGATGAGGGACAAACATGATGAGTTTTTTTTAATCTTTTCAATTGGACTATGAAAAGAAGTAAATCATTTGTTGTACTTGACCTGGGCATACTATATTACCCATACGACTGTCGCTGTATAGCCACACGTTTCGAAACACCGTTGGCTCATCGATTAGAATGGTTGTCTGCCACTAGTGTGGACAGCGGCATGCTCGCGTCTTTTACCCCTTATCGAATGTTTTTTGATGATCACAGTGCCTCCCCTAACTCAGCTTCGATTGGCATGCATTCCTTTTTCTAATACATCTGCAGCAACATCTTTGAAATCCATGGATCTGTATTTGTAAATAATTTCAACGTCATGGAGTCGGATTATTAACGGTAACCGTCCCTCGAACTGTCGATTAGGAAAACCTCAGACAATGTCTGAACTGCCAAATGAATTGAACGAAGAATCCTATACGTTGTGTGTGTAGCCACATGCATCTCCGTTGAAGACATTGATTAGAATGGTTTGGTATGTACGGTATATTCTTGACGATGTTAGGCTATTTGCCTCCACATTTTTTTGTTTACTTTATCACAAAAAACGATTTCATATCATTCCCAAAACGCAGATGAAAGAGCCTCAACAGGCTAGCTCTGCCCC